ACTGTATTTTTTGATGCGTCTGTTTATATTTAAAGATAACATAGTATTGGTTAATATAATCTATGACTGTATTTGAGTTTATATTACTATTTTTTTCCTTTTTTCCCTAATAGTTTCAGCTCTACAGATGGTTCTGCAAATATCCATGGATGTATGAGCAGTTATTGTCAAAACAGCTGCCAATGTTTGTTATAATTAGTTTAGTTCAATTTAACTCAGGGGCCACTAACCTGCATGTTTTAGAGGTTTTCCTGCTCCAACACACCTGATTTCAATGAATGGGTGATTAACAGGCCTCTGCTCAATTTGAAGAGTTAACTCTGAATCAGGTGAGTTGCTTGTTGAATTGGGTTGACTCCATGTTAATCAGTTGAACTTCATCTAATGATAATTTTCTGAATGTTTCATTAAATCTATCCAGCGGTTTATGAGATATTTTGCTAACACAACAGTTTGGCTCCAAATAAAATACTTTGATTCTGCCAACCTGAAAACACATCTCATTTTGTCGTGGCTACAGTCACAATAAATTTAGAATTTATAGCAATTTGTATCATGTGATATTTTGATAACAGACAGACTGAAACAAGAATTACGTATTAGTTTACGTAATAATGTTTAAAATGCGTAGCATAATTGTTCGAGTTTACGACTTTTACAATTTTGCTTGATAATATCCGAGCGTCTTTGAACGCAGCATTCCAACTTGTTGCCTGACGGAGTTGTGCGCCTCCTSTTCCTCCTCCTCTTCTCTGTATTTCAGCCGCACCTCTGCCGCTCAGCCCCTCACAGCTGGTTGTTTGACACACGGCACAAGCATGGCCTCTAACCGGGTGATCGTGTACGGTGGGAGAGGCGCTCTGGGCTCCAAGTGCGTCCAGTATTTCAAATCCAAAGGATGGGTGAGCGGCGGCGGCGGCTAGTTAGCCACATGCTAACAGCCTTTGGACGTCATGCTAACCGTGTTTTCTGTCTTTTTTTCAGTGGGTCGCCTGCATCGACATGGCTGCTAACGAGGAGGCAAATGAAAACGTGATTGTCAAAGTGACTGAATGTTTCACTGAGCAGGCAGGACAGGTGAGTTTCAGGTGTCGGAGCAGACAGCGGCGTGTTGTTAAACAGTTAGCACGTGACGACCGGAAACTACAAGTAATTTTTAGCAACAGCAACTATCCTGTTTGCAACAACTTTTGTTTAAAATAAACGTTATGAATGTATGCACGTTTTWTCATGTGTGTGGGTGTTTAAAGTGCTCTATAAATAAAGATGGTATGGTATTTAGCCTAAAAAAGGAAGTTTATCCGTTTTATTACATTATTTGCATTAGCGTCCCCTTAATGCTGCGTTCATGTCGCGTTGGAAATAAAATATTTATTTAAAATGCATTTTAAAGATGTAACATGTGTTTCACCTGCCTTTTATTCTTACATCTATAATTATAGAAGAGAATAGAAAACTTTTTGTGACACCAAAGGTTACAGATATTTATCTTCGACAGGGCTCCATACACACATAACATTTCAAAGAAACATTTATACAAAATATAAGTCATAAAATTAAAAAAATCAGCTCTAAAATCTCATAAGGCTTACTTTGTTTAAATTATATTAATTTCACAGTAATTCCTGAAGCATAACTTGTTTACAGTGTATTATGTTTGRCGTTAGAAGTGTTCACTGTCAGCTCTGTCATCTCTTGTTTTCTGCAWATTTCACTATAAAAACATTAATTTTAAAAACACACCACTGTATTTAAACCTCTGCCTGCTGTGATGACTTTTCCCAGACATCCTCCTCCTTTTGTTTGTTGTCGTAAAGTGGTAGTTTCAGCTGTTGTGTGAGCTGAAACGTTGACATTTAAATGKCATTCAGCTGGTGCGCAAGCCCCGCAGCTTTTCTGAAAAGCCTCGTTGGTTGTTGTGTGTCTGTCGTACGCAGGTGACGACAGATGTGGCCCACTTGCTGGGGGAGCAGAAGGTGGACGCCATCTTGTGTGTAGCAGGCGGCTGGGCCGGAGGAAACTGTAGTTCCAAAGGTCGGAGTTCAAACTTTTTTTTTTTTTTATTTGTTTAAACATTAATCATCAGTCAAACTTTTGGTACTTGTTACAAAATGTGAAATCGAGCAAAAACGTTATCCTGAACTTTATCAAATGGAGCCGCTTCAAAGAGTTTTTCTGAGATATTGACTTGTGTGGTTGACCTACGTTTGGCCGTGCAGGTAAACAAGTTTGAATCAGACAAGTAGAATCCCAGATGACCTGCGTATTGAAAATCATCAACCTAAAAATAACCGTTCTCCATCATCTCCTTCAGACTTCTACAAAAACACGGACCTGATGTGGAAACAAAGCKTGTGGACGTCCACCATCTCCAGCCACCTGGCCGCTCGCCACCTCAAATCTGGAGGTCTGTTGACTTTGGCTGGAGCTAAAGCTGCCCTTTCAGGCACTGGAGGTGAGGGCCGCCTTTTTTTTTAAATCCTGTTTGCGGCTTTCGTGTTACCTGAGGATCTGATCTTTGTTTGTGCAACACGTCAGAGACGAGGACCGCGACCGGCTGGCGGTTCCACCGATCAGTTAGAGGAGAAACATATTGATGAGATATAGCAAAACAAAGAGGGAGGGAAAATAAGAAGTATTGATGAGCCTACAGCTCTGGCAGTTTTACAGAAAMTGAGCTCAAATTTGCTGTGGTAGCTGGTGAGAGTGAGAACTAAAGGATCTGAAAGTTGATCAAAACAAATATGAATCTGTGCCTTCTCAGCAGAAGATTGTCGTCGTTTGAAATTCTGGCGATATAAGAAATGGGTAACGTGAATTCCTTCCAAAAAAACAAACAAACAAACAAGTTTTTCATTACCTCAGCCAAGGGTGAGGTAATGTTTTCGGTCGCGTATGTCTGTCTGTCTGTGGACTAGGGTTGAGCAATATTGGCAAAAAAATTAATCACGATTAATGTGTTGTATTTAGCCGATAACGATTAATTTGAAGGTTAATCCCCCAGAGTCTCAGGACACCCTTGTATCCTAGTCACATGACCAATTTATAGGGAGAAAATTGGCTCTTCGTAAAAATCTGTTCCAAATTGTGTCAAAATTACAGACTTCAGGCTATACATCAAACTTTAAATTGTGTTGATAGATAAATAAATTACAGAATTTTTTTTTTTTTTAATGTTCATCATGTTTGAAGGGGAGAGGAGCACCAAGTCTGCCTGGTGTCATTAATTGCATTGATCGTCAAGTGACAAAAATTAATCAATTAATGTTTTTCTGACTATTAATTGCACACGATACGATTATGCCCAACCCTACTGTGGACAACATTACTCAAAAACTTGTAGACGGATTGTCATGACATTTTCACGGGTACTGAGCCAAGGAACACACCTTTTTAAATTTTGGTGATGTTCCGGATCACGATGCGGATACAGGAATTTTTTTTTTCTTTTAACACTCTGAGATCGGCAAAGCTGTGATGCTTTCACAGGGCGTCTGTAAAAACCAGTGAGCTGGTTTGGACAGCACGGACTTCAAACTTTATAAAAGTAATGTTAAAACCACATTTAATGATGAATAATTTTTGCCATAATATGCTCATTTACAGGAAGTTTTGTGAACAGGAAGTGCGTGACTGCACCACGAAACCTATTTTTCCCATTTCCTCAAACACGACACATTTCCGAAACAACCAATCAAAACAGTTTCTCACTACTAGGCTTGTAAACAGAGAGCTGCCGGGCCTCAAAGTTTGGGGACGGGGGGAGCCAGGAAGCACTTTATAAAGAGAGTCAAACCATTACAAACTCAAACAATGGGATAAAACAGACGGTTTACATGGTGAAATGTGACTGATTAAAACTTAGGAGCTTAATCCCACACCAGTTTGATGATGAATAACGTCGGGTGACGAGTCTGACTTTTTTTTTTTTTTTCACATCGGACTCCACTGACAAGAAATCCCGTGCATACTGCTGATTAAATGTTCACTACGTCAGAACTTATTCAGCAAATGTGTTTCCATCTCTGCTTTTGCGCATTTATTACAGGATGGGGGATTGGTCTTGGTGGAGGTTTGCACTCTCTGAGTGCTTCTAGTTTCTTTTAGTAACGCTTTAAAGTTTAATGTTCTGCGTTCTTATTCTGCTTTGACAGGCTTTTAATTGGTCTCTGCTTATTTATTGTTCAGCTGCTCCTATCAGGCGTTAGTATTCGTGTACAGTAGTTTGGTTTTAAATGCGCTCAATAAATGAAACGATTCAACATAAAACTGTTTTTATTATTGCAGTTAAATTAAATGTTTAGTCCGAACAGCTGCTTCTCCAGTGCATGATTTAGTGACAAATTCCAAATTGAGATTTAAAAGGTCTCAGTTTGAACCATTTCAGCTTATACATCTTAAACCTTATTACTTTATTTTTGTCTTATTATCAGTCTTTTATTGCCAGACATCAGTCCAGCTTTTAATCCGCCCCGAGTGGCACCAGGAGATGCTTTGGTTCTGGGTCATGTGATGCTCAGGACAGCCATGTGATGAGCTGAGATTTAAATCTCTGACCACACRAATCTCTGGATCAGCAGTCGGCAGCGAGCCGAGGCTTTTTATTGGCTGCAGGCTCAGGAAGAGTGACTCAGCAGTTCTGGCTCAATTGGACACACAGCCCTGAAAAAGGCAGCTTTTTATTTGCTGTCTTTAGTTCGATTCGATTTATCCACAGATGTCGTTTTAATGTAGAAAAGTACATTTTCAGGCTTTAAATAAATCCAGCACTTTATCAGGAAACAAACATGACAAACGACGTTGGGTGAGGCAGTTTTTGTTCCGTTTTGATCAGAGTTAATGAGCTTCAGCCAATTTATTTTGTGCAAAAAAAAAAGGTATGATTATAAAGCTAATTGTATTGACTTTTACTTTTATCATAATTTATGAAAATTTTATGAATGAACAGGCTATTAAATCCTAAAGATGACTTGCAGGCTTGTAAGAAAACTGAGCAAAACAAGAGATTATAGCAGTTATCCAAGCAATAAAKGGTCATTTTAGGTTTGAATAGATGCTAAATCAGTTGATGCTGTCAGAAAACCAATTTTACTACAAGGTCAAAAACTAATTTAAAAGCCAATATGTCAGGATGAAGTTGAGAAATCATGTGAATGACCTCGTTTTGACTGGATTTGAGATTTAAAATAGAGGTCATCCCCGTAGAGTATAAGGGCAGAAGAGATCTCTCTTAGCTCTSTGAGRTTWTTTTTATAAGATGTGATTATCCTCYGAAATATGCAGCTTTATTCAGGCAGCTGCTGAATTTCCTCCATAGTTTGATTTTGAACAGAAAAGATGGAGATGAGTTTTAAAACTTGGCCGTTAACCCCCAATTTACACCGCGTCCGCTCCGGTGCGAAGCACAGAGGCGCTGCGAGAAACGTGCGCAGGAAATGCGATAAAGTCGGTGATAAATATGGAAGTCAGATAGAAACAATTCTGTGAAAGACGGAATCTGTGCAACAGTTGATTCTGAATCGCTGCTGTGTTTTTGAAACTTCAGATTTTAAAATAAAATCCATTTTTTTATGTGTGTACGCTGCATGCTGCCATCTGCTTCCCAAACAGAACAATGCATTTTGATTACATACGTGTATAAATATATCAGGGGTGGGAATCTTTTATTATCTCACAGTTTGATCTAAAATCGATTTTTCATTCAAAACCGATAATGTGAACCCATTTGTCGTGTTCCCAAAGTGCTTCATCTTCATTTTGCAAACCTTGCACACAGTGAAGCTCATGACAAATTCTGATCTATTCAATAAAAACCAAACTGAGCCCAAATCTTTGCTTTCAATGAAGTTGAATCTCTTTCCTCCAGTTTTGTAGTDTCRTCTTTGTTTTGGTGCTTTCTGCACATGCATACGTTCCTGAACCTTTTGCATGGTGACGTCAGGACCTCCCTGTAGTTACAACATGGAGGCTGACCGCCATTGGATTTGCTTTATTTATTTTATTTTTGTTTTGTTTCTAAAATTAGATTTTGGCACCTTTTAAATCGATTCTGAATCTTTGTAAATGAGAATCAGATTTTTTTTTTTTGGTGCAACCCTAAAAAAAAATCTATATTTATTAAAATGGCCACTGAAAAATTGGTCTGTTTTTACTGCGGAGGTCAGAGCAGAGCGGAGCGGACGCAGTGTAAATTGTGCGGTAAGTCTTAGCAGGAAAACTTAATTTAACGTAATGAATTCAAAGCATAATACCTGGATGTAAAGACGAAAACACACCAGAAATGCTTTGGTGTCGTGCGTCAGGTAACGCCATTAAATCATACAGGACTCATCAAGCTGAAGTAGCTGTCACCACAATCAGCTTCAGAATATAAGCCTTTCTCACCAAAAYGACCAATTTTCTCAACAACAGACCACAGGACTTTTTTTTTTTGTCTTCTATAATGACAAGATTTGTGATTGTATATTTCTATAACCTCTTCACTTTGCTCCTAAACTTATTTCAGTCCAATAATGCTGATTTTAAAATGCTGACTGAATTTAAGTGATAAACACAGATGGGCTCCGGTGGACTCACAAGGCCCAGGTCACATGTTTAAACCTTTTAGTCTGACCTGTTGGTGGTGGAGCAGATCAATGCCTGAAACTACCCCCTGACTTCCCTTCCCTCCTCCCCTTTTTGCTCTTTCCAGATTTTTCTCTTTTGGGGGAAAACAAAAGCTTAAAAGCGAAGCRGTGCAGCCGCCCCTTGTTCCCATTGGTCGGTGCTTTTGTAAGCCTGTAATAAGGTGGTTAAGGGGTAGACAGCAGATGCTCAACATTCCTCTTTAGATTTTTATTTCCAGCTGCTGAGAATAAAAAAAAATCTGTTATCCAGCCTCAGCCAGACACATTTACAGGCTCTAACTTCATGCTGTCAGGAGAAGCTTCAACACAAGTTTCTGCCCAAATCTGATCATACAGCAGAACAACRGTCCAACTTTAAACACTACATGTTGCCTTCTGTTGATGTTCACAGTGGATTGTCTTCAGCGGCACTAAATCAAAGTTTTATCGTCTGTAAATATCCAGGCATGATGGGATACGGCATGGCTAAAGCCGCCGTCCACCAGCTGTGTCAGAGTCTGGCAGCCAAAAACAGCGGGCTGCCGCAGGGGGCTGCAGCTGTCGCCATACTACCGTAAGTAGTCCCAACGAAACGACGTGAACATGCTAAATACACACACTGTGGTACACTTCACACTCTTTTATTTTCCTGCTAAACACTTTCACAGAAACACATTTACAGACAACAGATGGGAAGTGCTGATAGGAATAATTTAACCAACTATCTACCTGCCTTTCTATGTTAAATCCATAAAAGTTTACAGTAACACTTATTTCCTGTGACAAATGTAGTGTGAATTCTTAATGGCCAAAGATTTTGGCTGAATAAAAAGCTGAAACTGGCCTAAAAATAGCTTTTAAAAAAGCAGCAGAAATTAGCACAAACATTAAGAAACCAAAATTATCACATGAAGATGAATTTAGCTGGTAAAAAAAAAAACTCAGATTAGCTAAAAAGTTGCTTAAAAACACA